TGGGTCTGGAAGTTATTTGGGAATTATTTACCTTTCTGCTCAGACGTTTAAAATACTTTGAAAGCTCAGGCACCTCATCACTGAAAGATCTTACCTTGGCAGCAGAAAAAGGACTGGATGGGATAGGCCTTTTGTCTTCATGCGGATTCCAGCGCAAGGATCAAAAGTGGCCATCAGATGAAAATCAGGGCAGCATTCTCAGATCTGGTCCTACTAGCCGGGTGTTTACACCACCACAGAAACGTAGTGGAGTGAGCGGGGCCAGTGCTAAAGCATTTCATTGAGACTGCACTTCAATCATGCCTAATGGGTGCTTCCTTTAGAATAAAGGAGACACTGGCAGTGGGGGAGACATTTGTGTAGGCATCCAAGCACGGTCATTCCCCAGACTTGAAGATGCCCTAAACGTTGACGTGATTAAGATGGACAAATACAGTAGTTGGTGGCATTTACAACCAAGTGTGACCAAGACAATTTTGAATATGTTCCATCTTTACAGTGCTAGAACACCAAAAGAACTGAATAACTTTCTCAATGGTCATCACTTGAAACAGACATCCCACCCAGTCTATGTTGGAGTAATCCTAGATAGACTTCTCGTATATCTTAACCGCCTGAGGAAAACTGCCTTCAGGTGGGGTCATGTAACTACCTGCTAAACAAAATTGGTCAGCAGTCCATGGGGGGCAAATGCTCAAACTCTCCAGTCATCTGCTTTAGCCCTGTTACTGTGCTGCAGCATATGGTGCTCCAGTCAGGCTCCATTCATCCCACGTCAAGTTGGTGACGCACAACTCTGTTCAACCCTGCGCATCGTAACTGGCACGCTTCGACCCATACCAGTATTGTGGTTCCCCATGTTAAGCAACATCACTCATCCTCATGCCAGATGTGGGGAGGCTACAGCCAGAATGGTTGAGAAGATCAGAGCAAACCCAAGCTGCTTTGACCACCCAAGAGCGCACTTCTCAGCGAGGCACCCTTTGTGAGCCTACTTGCCCTGCCCAGTTTTCTCTGTGATGTCGATGTAGCGAGAATGGTTTCTGACATCCGCTACAGAACAGTCTCTTATAACTGACCTGACCATGTGTGTACCTGGCTTTGATTTGCTATGCCGGTTCTGGGCCCTTCTGAACCAATTTTGAATGGGCTGGGGTCTATATGCAGCTAGCCTTCACACTAGAGGTTAATGAAAGGATGCCACATGTGGCCGTGGCCAACGACAGATAATGTCTCACATCATTGACAACTGCCCTGACCAGAGGGTGGTCTGAGGGCTCTGCACTTTGCTGATGAGGTGGCAAATAAGACAGGTTCCATATCTGATAAGAAGTGGGGGAGAGGGAAAGAGAGGATCTCTTGAGCTACTACTGTAGTATCTTCTGGCAAAGTAATTTTAAACTTAACTCCTTTGTGACTGGCTCTGCCTCGTAGAACGTAGCAGTTCTTTCAAGTGCCACCTGCCATCAGGATTTCTCAGCGATCTGGAGCAATAACTTTAAGTGGCATCACCCTGCAGAGCTTGTTGCCAGTGAGTAACCAGTAGCCCAAACGATACCAGGCAATGACTGAGTTTTTTTAAAAGCCTTTCACCTTGAAGGCGAATACTGATGTGGAATTGATCTTATCCTCAGAGGAAAGAGCTAGGAGTGGAGGGTGGGGCAATGCATGGAAGGAAATGAGCTTATGCTCTCATGGGGGTAGTTTTCACCTGGGAGAAAGCCATTCAGCCAAAGAAATATCCTTTTTTTGTCCTGTAGAAATAATCAGGACTGTACACAAAGAGAAAGGGCTCTCCCTTTCTGAGCTCCAGGAATTGTTTTTACCATTGGGAGTGAGGTGTAGTCAGTGTATTATATATAAGCTTTTTGGGGCTGTCTTTTTGTTCTGGGTTTGTACACCACCTAGCACAATGGCAGCATGGTCCAGGCCTGGGAGTTGTAGGTGCAGCCTTGGTATAAATAAAACCAGGATAACTAATAGATCTTAGAGTTCTGCTCTACATGCACGGTATGAAGGAAGGTGGTAAGAGTCACTTAACAGATGGGCAAACTGATGTGCAGGGAGGTAGTTACTTGCCCAAGGCTACACAGTAGATCAATGGCAGAGCAGGTACTAGACCCCCAAGTCCAATTCTCAGTCTAGTACTCTACCCCCAGAATTATTCTGCCGCTTGAGATGCATGAGCCCTCTAACCTCTGGAAGTCCAGTTGGTGAATCTTTGCAGCAGAAGCCTTGCAAGCTGTCTTCTATTTACTGGTTTCAGCGAAAAGTCTCACAACAGCTTATGAGGGCATTTTGATTCTCACACTAAGTGCAAACAGGAAGCCCAGCAACAGACACGTGAAGGCTAGTATTGTCTAGTGGAAGACGGCTCAAGTTTTAATTCAAGAGCTCCATTGCTCAAACCAAGTTTTATTTAACCAAAAGCAATTTGTTTTTGTTCCACTGCTTGGGAATTTTGCTCAAGACACACCCTTCTTTGGAGCCAGAGAGAATCTTGCTGCGGGGGACTTTTTGCTTTGGGACCTGAAATAGCAACAGCCAGAAGCACCTTTTTTCAGAACTTCATTCTTTTAAGAAATGGAAACATGACAACGCTGGGCAGGGTGGTGGTTTCATTTATTGAAGGCTGGGTTATACAACTTCGTCTTTCACATCCTCATTGTAATTCGGGTTCTCTAAATAAAAACGCAGCGGTGGTGCTGCAGCGAATCATACTGCCAAGATCAGACTGTCTGAACCGTGGAACATTAAGTCAGACCTTCTTTGTCTGAATTAGACACAAACGCCACCACATTTACCAACCTTGGTGGAGACCCAACCCCACGTACAACAGGGAGTCACAGCAATCAGGGCACCAAGGAGGGGGAGGAGGCAGAGAGAGGGAACTATTTCATTATGCACAGAAGGAATGTTTCCTGTAGAGTAGAAATAGCTTCACTTCTACATCAGGAAAGTTCCACCTTTTGGGGTGCAAAGGTTAGAACTCAGCTGCTCTGACACCCCCGGTCACATGCCATAAGGCCACCCCTCCTGCCTACAATGCCACGGTTCAGAAAGCCAATCAGAGCAGAGCTGCTAACCTGACAACAGATGTCCTCTTAGCCTCAGCTGACACCTGCAAAACACTGGGTTGAGTAAGGAAGAAGGCCCTCAGCACTCCCATTCCCTTTCTGTAGGTAGCAGGGACAAACAGCGGTAGTCCAGGGCATGCGTGCCATTGCCTTAATTGACCAAGCTTTGTGAAGCAGGACAGTGAAATCTCATTGGTACAAAATTTCTATGGTCAACAGAGAATGGCCTGGTCTACTACAAATTCATCCAAGAAGCGAACACAAGACATCATTCCCCCCACCCCGCTCTACCCTGGATTCTCAAGAAAGGGGCAATTTCTTCCATCTAGTTTACTGACCATTGCAGCTTCTGCACTGAGTGTACAAGGCCATCGGAGGAACTCCGTATTCTCGTCAAAGAGAGCTGAGCGTTACGAGATTAAGGACTCGATTGAGGATGCATTTAATTTTGTTTCCTTTGCTTTACCCAATCAGGAAATCTCAATGATTTTTTTGTTTTTTGTTTAAGGGATTATTTAGAGGCAATTAGATAACGACTGGTTGCAAAACTACGTTCACTGGGGCAGCTGGAGCAGCACCGACTGGCCGGATGGCAGGTAGGTGATGTTGCGGGACCGTGAGAGCTGGTAAGCGATGTCTTCGGCTGCCTCCAGCTTGCGCAGTTCAATCAGGCCATCCCCGGCTGCGGTCAGTGCGGTGGCGACCAGCTCGGCTGCGATTGAGTCCCCCTCAGCAGTAATGACAGCTGCTTTTTTCTGCTGCTCAGCCTGCAAGGGGAGCAAAAAAGAATGGGCATGTAGGGTAGGAATAGGTGGGATGAAGAACCTGAAAAGCAGGTGGAAAATGCAGCTGCCATCCTTGATGATTTAAGACCTGAACTTCCCCTCTCCCGCACCAACAGCCTTAACAAGGGAGCTCAGCCAGGCCATTAATTGACAAGAAAAGAGGGGCACTGGCAAGGTAAGCGATCCCAGGTAAAGGTGCACAGACTTGCTTCGTTACCATCTTACAACTGGAATGGTTAGTTTCACTGTGTTTCCCATCAGTTTCATTTTCAGCATGTGTCAACATGAAACTTGTGTTTCCAACAATGCTCCAGGACTTTTTAAACAAGATTATTTTCTGTTGAAACTTACAATGCTTTGCGCTCCGATCAGCCAAGGCTCTCCAAGTACAGTGCAAAGAATTAAGCCACACAGCAACCCCCCTGAAGTAGGTACTATGCCCATTCTCCAGACTGGCACATGGAGAGCTTAACTGATTGTTTCAAAGGTTCAGCAAGTCAGAAACAGAATCAGAGCACCCTCAATCTCTCACCCCAGCTCTTGCAAGAGATGATGCTCCCTCCTTTAAAAAATCTCCAGAGAACATTGCTATTCAGTAGGTTTGTTAAAAATACCACAGCTGATTTCAGAAGACTCAACGTAACAGCGCAGCTTTGAAGTGTGACTATTAAGAACAGATAGAGCCTGCCCGTTCTGTGGCATGCTTTCCTGGTCAGAGCATTCTTAAGTGCTTCAGAACATTGGACAGATGAATGTTACTAGTCGGGGTAGGAACTGGATGACTGGGGACTGGAGTCAGTCCCCAGCTGGAAGTCGTCCACTCACCTTTTCCACTATGAATCTGGCTCTCTCTGCTTCCTGCTGGGCCACCTGCTTCAATTCTACTGCCTCCGTGAACTCCTTCCCAAAGGTCAGATGTGTCTAAGGGGGGGAGGGCGGGGAATGAGGAAGATGAGAGTACCCATTAGGATAGTTCTGCTGCTAGGAACCACTCACCATCGGAGAGGCAGGAAACCTGCCTGTATCACTGAAGCTGGAGAAGAGAAGAGGAAGGAGGTCCCTCTTCCTCAGAGATCTTATTTGGTACACTGGACCAAGAAGGAGAGCCACACCATGTTCTACAGTCTGAACTCAGAGCTGATGTAAACAGGCATAGCTCCATTGATGTGAATGGAGCAGCAGCCTCTTCAATCAGGTTTGACTCAGTGTCTACCTTCAACTGGTTTCTGTTTTGAATTTAATGGGCGGCAGCGGCGGCGAACAGAGCTGTAAAGCATTTACTAAGTAAAGCCACCTAAAGCCAGAAAAAAAAATCGAGTAACGGAATCATCCCACAGTAGGCTTTAGACTCAGACTACATCTACACTACAGCCAAGGTCAACACTCAGATTGATCCACTGGTGGTTGATTTAGTGGGTCTAGTGAAGAACCACCAAATCAACAGCAGATCGTTCTCCAGTCGACCCCTGTACTCTACCCCCAACGAGAAGAGTAAGGTAAGTCGACAGGAGAGTTTCTCACGTCGATCCCCCACTGTGTAGACCCCACGGTAACTCGACCTAAGGTACGTCGACTCCAGCTACGTGAATAACGTAGCTGGAGTTGTGTAGCGTAGGTTGACTTATCGCGGTAGTGTAGACATAGCCTCAAAGCAACATTACACTATCCTCCCAGAAAGTCCTGTTGCAACTTCCCAATGCAGCCAGTAGGGGGAGCTCGCTGTAGGTCAAGCTGTCCTGAAACCGACCTACCTTTCCCGCTCAATTCTGTACTTGTATTCTCAGCAGACTGTTTGAACAGCTGCACTCTACTGAGATGCAATAGGGGAAAGGTGAGCCTCCCTCTGCAGCATGTTCAGAAGGCAGCCGCCTCAGGCGGAAAGAGCCAATACTCACTTCCAGCAGGGAAATACTGGGACAGTGAACACACCTCACCAAGATAGTGTTTTCTAAGGAACACACCCAAAGCCAAGTCCAGAGTTTGCTCTGATCGGCTATTGTAGGGAAATCCCAGGAAGGGGTGCAGTGCATGTAATAAAGGATTTCAATTACAAGAAGCACTAGAGCAGAGCTCACCTCAAGGATGGTCTCAGAACAGGGGGTAGCCAGGAGGAGGAATTTAATTATTGACAGAAAACTGAAGGGAAAGATGCTAAACAAGGTTTGGATTTTTTTTTTTTTTACTGGGTGCTCAGGATATTGTAGCTTGTCCTTCTGCAGGCTTTCCCGAGATTCCCCTTATGCACATATAGGGCCTTCCACAAGAGTCTCCAAACAGTTTACAAACTGAGGCACAGTTGTCAGCCAGCAAGTCAGTACAGGCCAGGTCCTCAAGGATTTGCTCAAGTCACAGTAACTCAGTAACAGAGCCACCAGGAACAAAACCCAATAACTAACTACCAGCGCCCTGTCCTAGCCCCTGAGGGTATGTCTACACTGCGAGAAAAAACCTGTGACACTGAGCGTCAGAGCCCAGATCAGCTGACATGGGGCTGGGCTGTAGGGCTAAAATGAGCAGTGTAGATGTTTGGGCTCCAGGATGAGCCCCGAGACCCTCCCCACATGCAGAATCTCAGAGCCCAGGCTCTAGCCTGAGCCCAAACAGCTACACTGCAATTTTTATAGCCCCACAGCCCCAGCCATGGGTATTTTATTGCAGTGTAGACTTACCCAATGCATCACATTCCTCCCCTAACCTAGGATAAAAACCAGACGTCCCAACCTTCAGTCCCCTGCTCTAGCTACCATGCTACACTCGCGCTGGCTCTTATCTGAGCAAACTCCTAAAAAGAGAGAGCTCTTACCAAGGAAACGTCATCTAGGATGAGGCCAAAGGTATCTGCTCGCTCCGTGAGGTCTTCGCTCACTTGCCTGGAGACCAGCTCTCTCTGTGTGATCAGCTCTCCTGCGTCAAAACGAGCCTGAAGCCAGGACGGGCAGCAGAAGTGAGAGGAGAAAGAGACATGCACAAACAGGCAGATTCTATGAAGGAAAGCTCACAACATCTTGAGCTTCTCCACCCAGCTTTCCCCATCACAGACAGGGAGATGTTTGGGGGCTGCAGCCTAAAAGAGAATTCCAGCCCTTTTCAGTTGGAGCCTACTTGCAACTGATTGTCAAGGGCACCCTTTGTGCCCCTAATACCAGACCCTACTATAGTACAGTTCCTGTCGCTACTCCCCCTTTCCTTCCAATTCTTATCATCCTTTGTTCTTCCTTCTCTTGTCCCCGTCCCAGCCCCCACCCACACACCCCTTTCTTTTTTCTCCCTATGGTGTGTTTGTAGTGTGTGGCTCCTCTCCTTCCACTTTCCAAAAGGCCACATGTTTTTGCAGCTTAATGCTACAAGACTGGGGCAGAGAAGCCTAGGTTGGTGAGGGGGCTGCCTGAGGCTTCGTCACAGCCAGCCGGGGGAGCTGGGAGGGAAGGTGGGCAGTTTTCAAGGAGCTGCCTGTGGCATAAGAGGGACTCCCTTTGCTGGAGAGGCTGGGAAGCCCTACAGCAATTCAAGGCTGGAGAGGGGGCTGACGATAACTGTTCACTCTTGAATGGGGCTTTGAGGAGCACCAAAATGAACTCCGCTCCCCATCATGATTGACAAGACTGTATCTGATGCAACTATCAACTCTCCCAAACAGGGGGACGGCAGAGAAGCAAACAGCGGCATGACCATCTTCATTCTCTGGAGGACAACTTGCAGGAGGGTGTTTCTAGTCCAGAGCATTGAACGATCCATGCTAAATTAGGTCTCTCGCTGCTAGGGGAAGATCACAGCAGCACAACTGGCACAAGCCGTTGCATGGTCCTTACCACAACAGACTTCAGGATCTCGGTGGTGATGGACGGCAGTACGCGCTCGTCATAATCCTCACCGAGGCTAGTGAAAATTCGAGGTAACTGGGCAGCAACTGGTCTAAACAAGATACGCAGTGTGATGTTCACATTCTGTAGATCTGCAGAGATAGGTGCATGAGTTAGACAGCAAATCATGGGGACAAGGAATAGCTCTTTCTACGGCCACCGAACAGGGAAGGACAAATGTGTTCAGATCTCTCTTCCCTCCCACAGTATTTGCAGCGGCAAGCATCTCTCCTGCCCCATTTGTCCTTCTATTGTCTCTTTCATTGGAGATCTCAACACCTCTTACAAACATGATTTAAGCTTTGTCTTGCTTCTGAGGCTGGGAATTATTTACCCTACTCTACCTGTGGGGAAATTGTCTTTAAGGGACAACCTGAAGGCCTGAGGAAAGGGTTCCTTATCACTACCAATCACAGAACAGACTGCTGGCAGAGGAAACATGCCAGACTGATGCCAGCGCCCATGGGATTGCCACACCAGAAAGGACAAGAGCCTTATCCTGATTATGATTTTCTGTAAGGACACAGACCATGAAAATCAGGCCTTACCATCCCTCTGGCCCTGCCTACTTAGCCCTATTTTGTCCCAGGGATCCCATCCCCATTAGCTTACTTTACCAAGTCACCCAAAAGCAACATGAGAATAAGGGACAGGACATATGATCAAAGAGGTGTTTTGAGGAGCTACAATCTCGCAGGGCCTTAACTTTGAGGCACTATCCTGCGAGGTGCTGAAAAGCTCCTTCTGCCATTACCTTCATGGGGAGTGCAAGGCAGCCAGCATTTTGCAGGACTGCACCCTAGTTGACATGGGCACTAAGGGTATGTCTACATGAGCTGGCACGCGCTACCCTTGGATGTCTAACTGCAGTGTAGACGTACCCTAAGGGACCCTGGGTGAACGACACCAATGTTGCTCTCACAGCTGCCACTTGCCCAGAACGCTCACCTTTGCTGCCAGTGATGACAGGGACATTACGTGGGCGAGAACGACAGTCAAAGATGATTGGTTTCTGTATCCAGGGGATGAGAAAGTGGGTTCCTTCTCCTACCACCACATCTTGAACACCACGGACTCGATCAAAGATAACGGCTCTGTGTCCTCCATCAACTAGAGGAGAAAAAAAGAGCACATCAAATACAACTTTAACCATCACCATTGATCATACTTTGCACATTACCAAAACACTTCACAGAAGATATCAGAGGCTTATCCACATTAGTTAAGCCTCTCCAACTCCCAGGGGGTTAATCAAATATTTTTATTTTACATGGGGAAACTGAGGTACAAATAAGTGACTTGCCCAAAGTCAAGCTAGTCAGTCAGTAGGAGAGCAAACGATAAAACAACTTTTGGCTCCTAGTCCCCTACTTTTCAATCACTAGACCAGTCTCCTTTCAAGAACACCATAGAAGACAGTTTTCTAGGCAGAAGATTTGATTCTGTTTTTCTGCATCTTGTGTCGTCAGTTACACTGGTGTCAAATACTAGCCGTTAAGAATGATAATGTTGTACGCCCATTTTGCACTGGCGTGAGTGACAACACAAGGAGCAGAGCAACCAAGAATGAAGGCCAGGAAGGCCAATTAATTAGTTCTCCCAATCCTGAGTAGCTGAGCTCAAGAACTATTCCAAGGCAAGTTTATACTCGCTTATAAATATCTCAGCTTCACTAATTTTTAGTAGAGAAAGATTATTTCAGCTCCATCTCTTCTGCTCCTCACCATTATAGAGAGCGGAGTTGACAATTCCCCCTGCAATGGCTAATCCCAAACCAAATTTGCCAATGTTCTCAAACAGTCTGGAAGCCATTTGTCAGTCCAACTGCAGCCTCTTTGCAGAGTCACACCTGCAAAAATCCAGTAAACATATTAGAAAGGTACTACTCAAGGAGCCTAGGTTTTCCTCTGTCCCTCTGTAGGACGGAGCCATAAAGAAACTCCCATCCCCACTGACAGCATTCATCACAGCAGGAATAGCTGCAGCCCCAGGCTCCCTTCCCAGTCAGATCTCACCTCAAGCCCAGTTGAAGGTTGTCCCCTTATCACGGGAGCGCCCCTTTCCCTCACCACACTCCCATGTCCCACAAATCCCCTTGCATAGCCCAACACCTCAGACTAGACTCTCCGTGGAGCTCCCCTTCCCTTATCCTGAGGCTCCAGACTCCCAGAGGTCAGACCCTACAAAGGCCACAGACTTCACTCCAGCCCCCACACCAGGGCAAGGCCCTGAAATGCTCCTCCTCTCCTCTCTGTGCTTCCTTCCAGAGACAGCCCAGCACTAGGGCTCCACTGCTTTGTCCTCCACTCCGGGACCTCCAAATCCCCCTTCCCAGACCCCCCCCATCCTCCCCCTGGCATCATCCCCCAAGACAGCCAGCCTCCCACATCCTCCTCCAGCCCTGCTCCCCCTCTGTCCCAACTCCCCCAGGATCCTCCAGCCCCCCACTCCCTCTCCTTCCCAACTTCCCCAGCCCCCTCCAATCCCCCCATCCCCACTCCCTCTCCTTCCTAACTCTCCAAGCCCCCTCCTTCCCAACTCCCCCAGCCCCCTCCAACCCCCATATGCCTCCAGACCCCCATCCCATCTCCCCCTCCTCCCCCAGGATCCTCCCAACTCCCCCCCCCGTCCTTCCCAACTCCCCCAGCCCCCCATCCTCTTCCAGCCCCGCTCTCCCGCCAAAGGAGGCCCCACTCCCAGCTCCCGTCCCCCCGGTGGGCGGGTCGCCTCGCGCGCTCCGGCTCTGACCCCCGACCTTCCACCTCCCGCTCCGGATCCGCAGCTAGCGCTCCTCCCTTCCCCCACTCCCGGCAGGGACCGGACCGGACCGGACCCCCAACTCCCCGCTTCTCCACTCACCTCCTGCCACAACCCTGACCTCCACATGAGGAGCCAGCCAACAGCGCCTGCGCCGTCCTCCGCATGCGCGTCTCTCATTGGTTCCCGCAGGCGCGCAAAGCGCTCTGGGATTCGTAGTTCGCCAGCCACCTCCTGCTCGCCCCTCTCCGGCGAGGCCGAAGCTGGCTAGACTACAACGTCCGGCAGGCCTCGTCCTGCCTCGCCCGCGGAGCAAAGTCTCTCTCTATTGGCCTCGGCTCTGCCTCGCTAGGCGCACGGCTTCTTGGGAAGTGTAGTCCCGCCGCGGGGGGAGGGACGCGGGATGCACGTGTTGGAGGAGCTGGTGCCTGAGGGGGCTCGGGGTTGGCTTGGCTCTCCGCTGTTCGCTCCCCGCCAGCCAGCGTGATGGGCACAGAGCCATGCTCCAACCCACGCCCACTTCTCTGCCAGGCAGAGAATCCTGCAAGAGACCATGTCCACCCCCACCCCCCATTTCTCAGCCGGGCAGGGGTTCCCCAAAAGGACCATGCTCCAACCCCCCTTTAAACTTCTCGGCCAGGCAGGGAATCCTGCAAAAGACCATGTCCCCCCACCCCCCATTTCTCAGCCGGGCAGGGGTTCACCCAAAAGGACCATGCTCCAACCCCCCTTTAAACTTCTCGGCCAGGCAGGGGTTCCCTAAAAGGACTATACCCCAACCCCTCTGACCTGCCTCTAGCACAGGAGGGCCCCTACAAAGAGCCATTATATCACTGCCCTAGAGCGCTCAAAGGATCCCCGGAAAGGGATGCGCTCTGCTCCCACCAGAAAACTCTCTGGAGTCAGGCTGTCACCAGAAAGGACTGTGCTTCAAGCCTCAACCACCTACCTGTTCAAAGCAAGGAGACTTCTTCAGGTGCAGTGCTCAAATATCCCTCCACTCGCAGCATGCCTTCTGCAAGGTAAGTGTATCCCTAGGAAAGGTCGTATTCCCCACTCCTACCAAAACGTTTTGGCCAAGTCAGGGAATTCCTGTCCCAAACCTGACGTTATTCTGTCATTTCTTATGTTGCCATGCCATGTCAGAAACGTTGAATCGTGGAAATGAAGGAGTAGAAAACTCTGTGCGTGTTAAACAAATGAGATCACGGGTCGTTTCAAGTTTCCGCCCTACTGCTTCGTAGTGGGGACCTTGTCATGTGTATTAGTCAGGTCTGTGCCCTCCATTTGAGCCTTGGATGATCTCCGGAACGAAATAAAAAAAATCAGGGCTTTGCTCAGTTATAGTATTACTGGAAGTTTCAAAAGGAACATCTCTAAATATTTTCGGTGGTGGAAATAACCAAGTGTGGCTAAAGGACAGCTGCTTGAAGAGACAAAAGGTAACATGGCTGAATCTTAACCCTAACCTTTATGGCTCTTTTGAAAATCTGGCTGTACGTGTCACACTGGGGGCTGAGCACTTTGAGAATCGGGCCCTTAATTAGGAGCCTAAATGGGACCTGAGGTCTCTGGAAAATCTGGCCTCAATTAAGGATGCTGAGCCCCTGAAAATCAGAGAACCCTCCCCTATCTGATAGTTGCATCATTAGCCCTAATGCAGTAAGAGAGTCAGGGGTCACCACCGTGCAGGGCGATGGTGATCTCGGAAAGGTGTCTTTTCCTAATGGGGAGGAGTGGTGTTCACATAAGGGAGAGGAAGAAGAGTAGGGTGCTCTCTAGGAGCAAGGGTATTTTCATAGCAGGGAGTGTCTTGAAACCAAGAAGGTTTGCAGGTGAGGTGGGTCTGTGGGGTGCCTGGCATGTGTACCTTTAAGGACCATTTTGGTATGGGATGATTGACACGGCTGATGACAGTGACGCCCGTATTGATCGACGGCAAGAGCCGCAAGGCAGTGAGCATGGTGGGGAACGTTCCATTGTGCTTCAGGGAAGGGGCCATGTGGCAGGTGTCTTGGGAAAGTTGGCAGGAGCATTGGGGGAAGGGGCTGGGGAGGGCAGAGCAGTTGGTAGGGCATGTGATAGTGTGCTGGGCTCTGAGCAGCATGGGGTAGTCGGTAGTGGAAGATGCCAAGGCCAGCTGGTAAAGTGGGTGACCTAGATGGGTACTCTGGAGAGTGCAAAGAATTAGACATGGGAGGGTGAATTTGTAGTTCTGAAGCAGTTGGAGCAGCAAGGGTGCCCATATAGCAAGGTGATTGGCATTTGGTGAACTGGCTGATGGCAACGTGTACTCTGGGGAATTATTGGCACCTCTACCAGTAGCAGGGGCCAGAGGGTTTGAAGTCCATGTGGCCCGAAGGTGCACACAGTGGAGAAGATGTAGCAGTTTGCAGAGCTGGGATGTTCTCAGATTACAGCAGCTGGCGGAGTGGCTCTGGGTGAGTACTTGGAGCCATTTATCAATCTCAAGTCTTTTACCATGCTCCTCACTCTGGATTCTAGTGGGATGACTCGGGATGGTGGATTGAGTGGTGGTACCGAGCTGTGGGTGTGATATTGTGCAGAGCATGTGAACATGGAGAAGACAATAATCTCTAAGAGGCCTAGTCCAGTACCAGGATTTTGGTCACAGAGGAGAAACTTGGTAGGTCTAAGCAAGCAAGGTAGTCTCTATTCCTGCTTCGCCTCTGTTCCTGCCCACCTAGGGCAGCACGTGGTCACTCAGATCCCTTTCTCATGCTCTGGCATATCCCCCAGTTAACTGAAGCATCAAGTCCCAGAAGCCCTGGCTAACCACAATCACAGTAATCAGCCATTACATGTTCCTCTCCTTTCATTAAAGGAGAGAAAAAGACCTGAAATTGGCTTTTTTCCCTGCTGAATAAGCAGCATTCCTAGGAACGTGGGAAGCCGGACGCTGGAAGAGACAGATGGGGCTTGGTGTTTGCTGACAGTGCACTGGGGAAACCCACCTGGCTACCCTTTGAAGAAGAAACGTGGCTAGTTCAGGGGGAAGACACGGCAGGATTGATCTGAACCGGCTGTGTCTATATACATGGTCTGCAGGTGTGAATTGATGGAGCCTCACAACAGCCCTCTGAAATAGAAATTAGTTCACCCGTTTTAATGATGGGGAACCAGGCTCAGAGAAAGGTTAAGGGACTTGCTCAGGGTCACAAAGTGAGTCAGTGGCAGAGCCAGGAGTAGACCCTGGAGTCCTGATTTCTAGTCTCGTATCCAAATTGGTACAGCACATTTCCTTCCACACAGTTAGAAACAGCGCCCAGGAGTCCCGACTTCTAGCCCCCTGTCTTTAACCATTAGATAGCCCTGCCTCTTTTGACAGGGGTTGTGCCTTATGGGTATGCCCGTGCCACAGCGGCACAGCTACGGAGATGCAGCTCTGCTACTCCAGTCCTATAACATAGACGCTTCCTACATCGACGTAGGGGTTTTCCAGTTAATCCACCTCTCCGAGAAGCAGTAGTTAGATTGACGGAAGAATTCTTCCATCGACCTAGTTGTATCTACACTGGGTTGGGTTGACCTAACTACATCTCACGGGGTGCAAAATTTTTCATAGGCCCATGTGGCATAGCGAAGTCGACCTCATGTTTAAGTGTAGACCAGGCCTGTGGTACGTTCCGTCATGTTTGGGGTTACAGAGATCAGGTGGCAATTTCAAGCAGTCTCAGAAAATGGCACAAAGGCTGTTGATCACCAAGGATTCCCAGGACTCCCCGTCCGGTCAGCAGAGGCAGAGGGTGTGGGTGTGTATGTGAGACAGACAGACACACACACAAAACCTTGTAAAGCCTCCGAAGTTTACAAACCCCTATTTGCTCCAGCCTGCTTTCCTGGTGGATGCGATCCCTACTTCTAAATAGCCACTAGGAGGAGACAGCAACCTCCTGTTAAAGTCTCAGCACAGGACGCTCTCAGGAGACCTACCTTTCCCTCTGACCCTGTATCCAGGAAGGAAAGAAAAGACAGATTACATCCAGCTAAGCCTGTGGCCACTTGCCCCTGGCAAAGCCCCGCCCTTTGCATCCCCGCCATGGCAGTAGCTTGTTCCAGGCACCTTCCCCTGCGTGTTCTGCCTTTAACTTAATGCCACGACGCATGGGGTCTTCATTAAGCTGCAGCCTGATGATTTGTGAGCGTGTAGCTTGGATCCTGACATCCATCAGGTATCAGATACGTGTAGGTCGCGGGGAGCAGGGGAGGGAGCACTTAATGGCTGGGTGTCCCCACTTCGGGGGGCCCGGCCTGATTTACGAGTTCCTAAATAAATCTTGTTTATTGTAGCTGATCCAATGGGCTCTTTGTCTCTGTCTTACATTTAACCTGAAACACCAGTCAGCCACCGTGGAGGGTCTGTGAGCGTCCAGCATTCAAGGTTGCGTCCCTCCTGATGGCACCTGGAGAGAGGATAATTCTAAATAAAAACCTTCCTCCCCACGTCCTTCCATAGCACTTCGCTGTGGAAGGTCCCAGGGTGGTTTGCAAGTGTGGAGGAGCGAACCTCATGACCTCCTTGCCCCCTCGCGAGATGGGTTTGGATGGTTACCCATGTATTATAGATGGGGAAACTGAGGCACAGGGTGGGGAAGGGGTTCTCCCGCGCTTAGCCAGCGAGGCGGGGAAGAGAAGAACGAGACCGGGAAAGGGCAGTTTGGAAGGCTGCAGGGTTTTAGTTAAGACCAGAATTTGCTAGCTGGGAAGAAGTTTCCAACAGAGGCGGGGTTGGTCAGCTGCAGTGGGAAGAATTTGCGAGAGCTGCTGCCACCCATGATGACCAAAGCCCAGCAATCCTCCTCCTCCACCCAGTCCTGACCACAGGAGATGCTTCGAGCTGCCAGGCCTCCACCAAACCGGCTCACTGCCACTGGCCACCCCCAGCCTCAGCGCTCTGTGCTGCCTCTTCCCACTCCGCTGAGAAAATCAAACCAGTCTCTGCAGAGAGCTGGGAGACGAGGCCGCTATCGCCTGCAAACTGCACCTTTGTGCTTCTGGCCCTAACGGGTGGGGAAGGCCTTGGCTCCTGGCAGATGGTGGCACCACTGCCCTGCAACAACCTGCTGCAGAAAACCAGTGACCTCCCTCGCCAGCCTCCTGTCTCGAACCTCTCGCTCCCGAGCAAGGTGGACGTGAACCAGCTCAAGCAACGCCTGGCCTCTGGGGATACCCTAGAACAACCCTCATGACCTGGGTCCTAGGACCCTGCTAAGGGGATGTGTCCGAGCCCGGGT